CATCATTATTTAGTGATCAAATTTCAAAAATTTTTTTATCAAAATGATCAGCGAAGAGAGCTCTACAAAGCCTAAAAGGCGGAAACATTCCATGAGAACTTTATGTTTTAGTGGTGGATTACCTATGGAAGTGTCCAATTATGTCTTCAAAATTTGAAGCTTTTAGTATTTATATAGTCCATTATTATCTTTTGAACGACCAGTCATACTCCTAGATCCCATTTTTCACGAGCTTTCATTTGGTATAAAATTCAATAGTGATATTATTTGCCATTGGAGCTATACCCCCCCCCCCCCCCCCTAGCAAAACATTTTTCGCAACCCTGTATATATGAATTATTAAAATTTTTCAATTTCTCACTAGAAAATTCATGTATCATTGCATTTCTTACTGCTATTTTTCTTCAAATTATGCGTAATATATGCTTCGAATGTTCTTTCCATATTTATTATTACTATTGAACATCTATATGAAGATATGTTATTAACGAGAAAAGCAGAAAATTCTTCTGATACGATTTATTTAAAGAAAATATAATTTTTCGTTCATTTATTCCGATTGATATGGATATGGAATTTCATAGTTTTACTTTTCAACAAAATTTGACTTGTTTGTCACAATATAATTATTTATTTATTCTTAATATTTATATTAATGAAAAAATATTATTCTTTGAAAAATTATGTTTTTTTTTTATAATTTTAATCAATTTGTTAAGAATAAATTCAATAAATATAAATCAAATGATTATGTTATTAATTTCATATTGATAAAATATGATGAGTTAATATGTAAATTTGAAATTTATTTTTCTATTTTATAGTAATGATTCTTTTATAATGAAAGTATTAGTTTAATAAAAGTTTAGACAATTGAACGTAATTTGTTAATGGAAATAGTTAATCGAGCTTTATTCAGTTGGCAATATGAACGATAGATATGTATTAGAAGAACAATTGAATGAAAATAAAGATAAATCCCTTTTTTTGTTTTCATTTAACTGAAAAAGTACGTCCAAGATTTTGATTAATAATACCAAATTCAATTCGAAAATGGATTAAAAATGATGATAATTTTTTAGAATATTTTAAAAGACTTCTTGTTTTGTAATATAAGATTTCTTAATGAAAATGTTTCCAAACAAAACAAAAGCATTTGAATTTTCATACATAAATAATACATACAATTAATGCTCTCAATTAAATAAAAATTGTCAAAACAATAGTCAAAAAACTAAATACACGAATGAATTTATTCATCTAGAATAATTTTTTTGTTCTTTTCTTTTCAATATTTACGTTTCTCATTCTCGTCCAAAATAAACAGATTCAACATTCGAACGAATAGTAAATAGAAATGAAACAAAATTTATCCGTCGAAGTAATGTCGACCATATTCGCCTCCTCCATCACTCCTAACCGTCATCATCTTTTTCAACTAACAATCGTTTAAAATCAGAAATATCTTCTTTAATGCTTGGAACATTTTATATCTTCTTTGCATCAATGATTTTTAAACATTTAATCAAATAAATGATGGTTATGTATGATTTGATGTTTTTAAACGTTATTGGACACTATCATTTACTTTTGATAATTTCTAATCAACAATAGATATTTTATCTGAACTTGAAATATAGAATCAAAATTAAATAATTATTTAATAACAATAACATTTAATTTCTGTTTAAATATTTATTGAAAAATCCTTATTATCAATAACAACATCTGATTCATCACCATCGATATTATCAATTGTAATTCAAAAAACAACATGCACATCATCATCTATATCATTTCCATTAAATCATTCCATAAGTGTAGTAGTCATTACACATATATGACAAAAAATTCAACAACGAATTCCTATGTTGTTTATTAAAGTTCTAATAGAACAAAAACATTCATCATTAAGTAGAATTCATAATAATGCAATTCATTTTTCTATGGTATGATTTTTTAATCATTATTTATTTTGTTTTTATTTTCATCTTTGAGTTATTTAGATTTGAGCAATGAAAAGATTTGAAATTGAACGTGATCTTCTTATTCGATCATATGATACATTTGATCGTATTAAAATTCATTGTCTTTTTCAAATGAAAAATAAATAATGTTATTGTATTCATTTATCAAGAAACATAAAAAAAATTTATTAAATTTTATATTTATTTATTTTTTAGATAATTAATATTGCATCAGAATTGATTTATAATCGATATTTAGTTATTGATTTACTTAAATTAGTAAATACAATCGTTATGGAAGCAAATTACCATTTAAAACTAATAAAAAGAATTCTGTTCTTTTTTTTCTCATCATCAAAGATTAAATTAATTATTCATTTTCGTAGAAATAGTTTCTGGGCCCGGATCTGTGACTGACAGAAGCTAACTTTTTGGACTAGCAGCTTCCTAGCTACCACGGCGATAGTGCTGCACTAGATTTCTCTAGAGTGCAAGTCTGAAATCAGAATGTGTACGAATACATCATTTTAACTCGATAAAACATGACTAAAAAATCTCTTTCCTTAGTTTTTGTAGAAGTAACAGCTGAAAATCTTGAATCAGTTGAAATCGTTGATGGTTCAACTCGTAAACTAGCTGTTAAATCGATTGTTCAAAATTTTTTTCGTGAAACATTTATGATAATAATGAATGTCGATGAAATTGCTGCACATGGTTATATTTTAATGTGTGCTATATTATGTTCAACAGTTAAAGTAAAAGAATTTAAATTTCAAGATTGTCACGTGTATCCAATAATATTATCGTGGCAAAGAGGTGTTAATGAAGTTAGAGTATTTAGTCGTTGGAATGTCATACCATCAACAAAAATATTTTCATTTTATAAATGAGAACTATTAACAGTTGAAGTTCGTTATTTATATCCAAATAATATTCCATTTTCTGCATCTCGCATTAGTAAGACAGTATTTGTTGTAGTTTATTTTATAAAAAAATGAAATTTTTAGGTCAATATATCATTGAAAAAATTCAATCACAACCAGATGATGCATTATCGAAAATAAAAGTCAAAGTTCATCTTAATAATAACGGAATCTTTTTGATGTAACACAAGTTGCAATCATTAAAACTATCGAAGAATCAAATACACCAGCTGATCGGGGTAAGATACGATGATCTTTCTTAGCAAAGAGATATGATAGACTCACTCAGACTTATCAAGTTTGGAAATCAGTAGATTTTCATTAGATTGAAATTACTTTTTATTAAAACAAATGAGTGCTAAGTATAGACCTTCAACATATAACTGATCTTCTCGTAGAAATGTCAATAATAAAATCATCATGGTGAAACAATTTATTCAATATTGGTACGAATAAGAGATTTTCTATCAATTTATTTAATCAGAATAATTCACTTTATATCAAATAAGAAAGAATGTTATTTGATTATTCTAGTTAATTTGTGACAAACAACTGATCAGAATAACAATACAGAACAAAATCTTACTTATCTATCATGTTTTGTTCATTTACCAAATGTAACTAAACTAGAATTTCGATCAACATTTCATGTTAATCGATGGAAAGATATTCAGTTTATTCTACAGTATGTTTAATTATTTTAAAAAAGAAAATATTTTTGATATATTGTTTTAGAGTATGTCCAAATGTGATTATTCTTTTAATTAATACTTCATTATTACTCTTATCAAAACTAATTGATAATTCATTTCTTATTCCAATTTTCAAACAAATTAAAATGATCAAATATCAATATCAGAAAACAATTATTTTCATTTGAATTTTGCCTTAAAACTTATTCGACGTTTTCCATCACTTAGTCATAGTGAACTTCAAGTATATTCGTTTGATAATTGTGTATTTATTATTGATCTATTTCTCATTCGTTTCGAACAATTATCTTATCTCAAAATCTGTTATGATCAAGATACATTACTTGATGATCCTTTTTCACATGAATATATCATTACAAAAAGTTATCAACCATTTCCCGTTAGTATTATTGATGAACAGATGGTTAATGTCAAAAATAATGATCAAGTTATTGAAATTTGGTTATGATGATTTCATTTTCGTATAGATTATTTTTTTAATTAAAAAATAAAATTATTTTGAAAATAAAAATGCGTTTTTTGAGTCAA